AATACCAATGTTGTCTAAACTATGTCGTGAAAATCCTTGTAGCTGGTATAAGCATATTGATGTCGTTCAACAAACAATCAACAGTACGCCGCCAAGAAGCACTAAAGTTTCACCGTTTAGATTGTTGACTGGTGTGGAGATGAAACTTAAAAGAATATCGGACTTGCAAGAACTATTAGAAGAAGCTGCTATAGAGGAGCTAAGTAACGAAAGAGAAGAAGTTCGTAAAGAAGCGCGGCAAAATATAGCAAAAATACAGCAGGAAAACCGAAAATCTTTTAATAAACATCGCAAAAAAGAGTCCAATTATAAAATAAACGAACTTGTAGCCATTAAGAGAACACAGTATGGTACTGGTTTAAAATTGAAACCTAAATTCTTTGGTCCATATAAAATAGTAAAGATTCAAAACCATGGTAGATATGACGTAAAAAAGGTAGGCGACCACGAAGGTCCAGGGAAAACTACAACTGTAGCAGAATACATGAAAAAATGGGAGCCAAATGCTAATTTAACAGAAGAGTCGTCATTCGGGTCGAATGAAGAGTCAGGATGGCCGAGTGTAGGAGTTGGAAACAGAACTAGGAGTGGTCGAACTTACAATCAGTTAAATTAAACAGGCATTTGGTAATATAAAATCACTTATCATATGCAACCCTGCTATGGATATTTAATCCACGATAGATTTATCGATAAAAATACAAGAAGGAGAAGCTCAGTTTTAAGCTAGAAGAGTCAATGAAAAGATGTGTTCGCTGTTGCTCGTTGTCTTTGAAATACATGTCGGAAAATGTACCCTGCTATGGATATTTAATCCACGATAGATTTATCGATAAAAATACAAGAAGGAGAAGCTCAGTTTTAAGCTAGAAGAGTCAATGAAAAGATGTGTTCGCTGTTGCTCGTTGTCTTTGAAATACATGTCGGAAAATGTACAATAATCATAAGTTTACGCTTGTTCACCAATTTCTCTAAATAAAATAATATGAACGTAAAGAACTCAAGTGCTTGTGAAGACCATCGAATGGTCATCCCTACATTCATGCGAGCTGTCTAGGGAGGATAGGATAGTTTCCTTGATGGACAAGGTAATTACCACCGAATTGTTGTCCAATGATTTTGTTTATCGGACAATCTGCTGGTTACTGCCCCAGATTTCCAAACTTATTTAGATAACCTACAACGAGTGGGGCAGTGAATAACGAACGCAAATCTCCACAGGACTGAACAAATAGAAATTCGGTTTTAAAGTATGAAACACATCAGGTTTTTTATTTTAATCAGGAGCTGCCGACTGTGGGATACCCTGAACCCCCTTCTACGAACAACAAATGCATCTCGCGCTATGCGCTCATTTGCTTTAGAAGTAATCAAAATAAAATAAAATAAATAAAATAACTTGCAACAGACCACACCAGTTGCCGCCGCCTCTTCTTGGATAATAATAATTGAGTCTTAATGAGAAAAACGGATTAAAATATCAGCACAGTAAACAATACAATAGCAATTACTGTTGATAGAATTTAATGTGCATGTGAATATGTATTTGTACATGTATACAGAAATCCAGAAATTTGCCCTAGCTGTCCAAACTCGAGGCCAGCCAAAACATGCTTTCTTTAATAACTTCTGTATTTCTTAATCGATCTTGATGCAATTTTCTACAATAGATCTTAACGCACTATAGAATGTTTGTATATTCTTAAAAAGTCAATTACATTTAAATTGTGGGTTAAATAGGGGGGCATTATAAATTGGTTTATTTACTTTATTTATAGATATGTGGTTTTAGCGGGAAGGAGGTAATAGCTGTAACATAAAAGATACTTGTTATATATGTATATACTAGTCTAGAAGATACATGTCCAGTTTGGTGGCTCTAGTTCTTTTTATTTGCCAAATTTACTCAAAAACAGGAGTTCAGTATTTTTATCGATTACTTGGAAATGAGGCAAGCTATTAATACTCGGAAACAAAATCGATTTGCGCGGGCACTAGGAGGACCAACAGCTAAATTTTCAAGTCTCTAGCTCTTATAGGCTCTGAGATCCTTGCGTTTATACATACGGATCGACAGACGGACTTAGGTAAATCGGCTCGGTTGCTAATGCTGATCAAGAATATATATACTTTATGCAATCGGAGATGCTTCCTTCTGCCTGTTACATACATTTGCACAAATACATTATACCCTTTTTACCCATTTTCATTGGGTTCAGGGTAGAAAAAATGAGAGAATGTCGATATACTGTTTTCTTGACGTAGAAATGGTGTAGTTAGCGTTCTTTTAAATCTCGGTCTTTCCGGGCAACATACACCTACGATCAAAATTTTATCTTCTAATCTTTGAGCTAGACGCGCTTATACATACGAACAGGCAGACAGACATGAAAAGATTATGTTGACTATTGATGTTGTTCATGAATATTTATACTTACCTATGTCGAAAAAGCTCACTTCTGCCTGTCGGAAACGTATTTTAGGTTTATATTAGCGGTTATGTCTCGTCCTCGTCCGTGGCATATATAAAATAAACGTCCGCAAAAAACTTAAAAAATTATTTTGGCACTGATCCGACGGTAAACAAAAAACTTGCATATAAACGTTTGCCGCCGATTTCCCACTGTTGCATGGAATTTCAAAATCACTGAAACACGTAATCATTAAGTTTTTATGTAGAGCTTTGAATATTAAAGCAAAACTTTTTAAACCAATCTTAAAAATAAATTCTTACAAAATCTTTAAAAATGTTTTTGCAGCCTATCGGATGGTAAACAAAAACTTTTATACAACCGTTTTTCGTCTATTAACCACTGTTGAGGGTGGAGGTATCCCCTAGTCGGGAAACACGTATTCATTAAGTTCTTATGTAGAGCTCTGTAAATAAGTTTAAAGCAAATCGGACAAAACTTAAACATTCACCAAAAATATCTTAAAATCGCACTTTCTACCGAGGAAGTTTGGATTGTGCGAAAAGTATGAAACACGCCTCAAATGATTTTTCGTATAGATCTTTGGAAATAAGGTTGATCACGAAACTTCACCCACCATACCTTTGACCTTGAAGCTGAATAATAAATTTTCGTTTATTAAATCTTTGATACGCATCCAACAAAGTATCAAATAAATTCTTATAAAGATCTTTAAACATGTTTTTGCAGCCTATCGGAAGGCGAACAAAAAGCTTTCATACAACCGTTTTTCGCTAATTAACCACTGTTATGGGTGGAATGGCCCAGATCTCTGAAGCACGTATTAATTTAGTTCTTATGTAGAGCTTTAAAAACAATTTGATGCAAATAGGGCCAAACCTAAAACATCATAACTACAGTAAAAATTTCAGCTTTTTAGCTCGCCGGTTTGGGCTGTGCGTTTTTATATACATATTGATTGACCTTTGCATCAGTATTTTCATAAGCTTGCTTGATGATAATTCTATTATATTTAAAAGAAAGTAAGATTGTTTGAGTAGGAGATGCCCTAAAGTCAGCTTCGGGCTGTTTGCAGCTTGTGCTCCAACTGTGCCTCGTCATACCTTAACTCCACAATTTTAATAATTTTAATACTTATTGCCCCATAATCATTGATTTTAATGGTAAATACGATTAAAATAAGGCTCTTATAAGCTTTGAGAAATGACAAAAACCCCAATCAAAATGCGATACTTACCGATTTCATTAAAACGGGGAACTTTAAATAAACTCTCTGGGATCGACCGGACATGGCTAAATCGGATATTAATGCTGACTAAAATTGGTTTGGAAATTTCACATTCTACCTGCTACAACAATTTTTGGAATATTTGGGACTTGAAAGATATATAAAAGAAATAAATTGTAAAGTCTGCTTTAATTAAACCAGTGAACCAAAAATCCACCAACACAAAAAACCGATCGTTTTATAAGCTCGCTTGCTTTGACAGTAATTAAAAAAAAAATTGGACTCGACCTAGAACCGAACGATCTAGCCATGTCCGTCTGTCTGTCCGTCCGTATGTATGAACGCAAGGATATCAGAACCTATAAGAGTTAGAGACAAGACTGAAATTTTAGCTGTAGATCCTCCTAGTGCCTGCGGAGATCGGATTTGTTTCCGATAATCGATAACTTACTCCGTTTTCCGTTTTTTGACCAAATTAGGTAAACAATAAGAGCTAGAGTCACCTTACATGATATGTTGCTTCTAGAATATTATATATATATCAAGTATCTTTAATTTTATACCTATCACCACCTCCCCGCTGCCACCTTAGAGCTATAAATCAAGTTAATAACCCAATTTGTATTGCCCACCAATTTAAGCCACAATTTAAATGCAATTAACTTTCTGAGAATACACAAATATTCTATGGTACAATAATATATACTGTAGGAAAATTTCATCAAGATCGGTTTTCGTTTTGTTTTTCGGTATTTTGACTACGCACGTGTTTGCGACGCAAATTCCAAGAATTTCTGTATACATGTACACACACATTCATGCGCGTCTGCTTCGAATTCTTTCAACAACTAGAGGTGGTGGCATGTTGTGTGGTCTGTCGCGAGTTCAAACCCTGCCTAGGAAACTATTTTTGTTTTTTTGGCTGCTGTGGCTGTGGAGTGTAGACCCGCCAAGGAAACATTTTTTTTTTAAATTTATCTTTTTTACTTCAAACGAGTGCGTAGCTCGAGCTGCATTTGGAGCTCCCTAGTCGGGAGCTCCCGAGAGCTCTTACTTGTTTTGTTATCAATACTTTTTGAAAATATATAGAAAATCTAGAAATTATCGATATTTTTTTTATTTTGGAATTGATAAAAAAAAATTTAAGAGAAATATATTTGAGCATTGTAGATTTAAATGTTTTTCGAACTTTATTGAATAAGGAATTAGTTCAAAAAAATTAAAATATTAATATGATTAATATATTTTTTATTTATTAATAAATATTTTATCAATATATTTTTTAGGAACTGGGTGCTGATGATGTGATTCGACGAATAGGAGAATACAGAACCAATCTGGAGGCTGAACGGTGTTCCGACACGATAAAAGCTGTTATTGATAATGCCCTTGATACACAGCGTAATCAAATTGTTGAAATGATTGAACATGTTGCCCGCAAGATGTCACCATCTATTCGTAGATTTTTAACAGAAGGGGCAGAAGTACTCCATAAAGACTCAAATTCTATGGAAAGGCTGATGATGTACTTAGAACGGTCATTAACGACGCTTTATGATACTCTTAATGAAGTCAACTTTGGCAGAATTTTGGACGGTATTTGGGGAGAATTGTCAATAATAATATATGACCTTATTCAGTCTAATCTCGATGTGAGTATAGATTAAAACCGGCTAGGATCTTATCATATAAATTTTAATTTTAGAAACGCCGACCGCCATCTTTTTTTCAAAACTTGAGGGAAACTCTCCGCACTATGATATCTTGCTTTAAAATTGGAGAAGCAAAAACATCTGATGTTAAAATTTTATCAGAGATTGAAAGTATAATAGACCTCCATGCTCTCGAAACTGCTGATCTTATCCACCAATATTATCTAGATCGGTATAGAAATCAAAAAGAACAATCCACAGCACATTTCGGGCAACTTACAATTACCGGACAATTTACAGATTCTGGATTATTAGTAAGTATGAACTTGGGGGTGCCTGACTATGATGAGATCCTTCCAAAGGTTGTCGATATCGATTTTTATCGGCGTATATCAACTCACATATTAACTTCTCAAGGTTTAATCCTTATGAGTGTTCGCTTCATGCTTCACACGTCAGGCTACTTTGCGTAGCTCCCCGGATGGGGTATGGGTTTTAAAGCAAACAAACTCATGGCCAAAGAATATTATTAACAAAATTGCAAATATACCTGACAAAACGGGTGCTTATAAAGTGCTAAAAGAAACCTGGAAGACCGTTATTATACTCAACATATCTGCTCAGTTGGATGACATAACTTAGCACATAACACACTCAATTTTCTGTCCCTACAAATATATCTGGTCAAAGCAACGCCATGACAATCCCCGTGTGTGATTCTGGAATTGCTCATTTTAATACCCTGAACCCATTGAAAATGGGTAAAAAGGGTATTATGTATTTGTGCAAATGTATGTAACAGGCAGAAGGAAGCATCTCCGACCATATAAAGTATATACAAATATTCTTGATTACCATCAATAGCCGATCGAGTTGATCTAGCCATGTCCGTCTGTCCGTCCGTCCGTCCGTCCGTCTGTCCGTATGTATGAACGCGAGGATATCAGAACCTATAAGAGCTAATAACTTGAAATTTTAGCTGTAGGTCCCTCTGGTGCCTGTGCAGATCGAGTTTGTTTCCGATAATCAATAACTTACTCTGTTTCCAAGCAATCGATAAAAATCGATATCGATATCCTGTTTTTGGGCAATTTTGGTAAATAATAAGAGCTAGAGTCACCAAACTTGACATATAGCTCTAAAATAGAATATATATATATATGCATTTGATGTTGAAAGAAGAGGGTTCAGGGTATCCCCTAGTCGAGAGCTCCCGCCTAGAACCTCTTACTTGTTTTCTCATAAGTACTTAATTGTTGGTGTGGCTGGTGAGTAGAGGCATAGCAAGTAGTGCGGTCTGTCGCGAGTTCGAGCCCTACCGGGGAAAGTACTTTTTTTATTTATTTTTGCTGGTGTGGCTGTTGAGTAGAGTCGACAGCAAGTAATGCGGTCAGTTGCGAGTTCGAACCCTGCCAAGGGAACTTTTTTTTTTTAATTTACTTGGTGTTGGAATAAGAGGGTTCAGGGTATCCCCTAGTCGGGAGCTCCCGACTAGAAGCTCTTACTTGTTTTTTATACCCTGAACCCATTAAAAATGGGTATAAGGGTATATTGTATTTGTGCGAAAGCCAAATGTATGTAACAGGCAGAAGGAAGCATCTCCGACCCCATAAAGTATATATATTCTTGATCAGCATAAATAGCCGAGTCGATCTAGCCATGTCCGTTTATAGCTAATAGGAGAGAGGAAAGTGAAATAATGGGAGGATCTATAGAACTACCGGAAGAAATAGTATAAGGGTAAGAAGAGTATCAGGACAGACTGAAGAGTAAGTTGATTAACTGAAGAGTAAGTTGAATCATAAAGCGAGCAACTAATAAGCTGTGTCTGCTTCCCCTTAACGATCCTGTTGAACCTCAATCGTTCAACGGGGGGAGTATGTTCGTCTCAGCAGCTAAAAATTAAATTAGTATTATGTTCGCATAACATTTCAGTTACATATTGCCCTGCGAGGCAAGCAATGTCACTATTTTGTTTTGTTTGGCGCTTTTGCACTTTGTCTTGAGCGGTTAGCGCATCAATGCTAGCGCCGCCGCAATGCATTCTTGTCTCGTATGTTCGCTATATCGGATCACTTATCAATCGCTTCGCTAAAAATTGTACATTTTCGCATATTGTCAATACGCTCGCTATAAGCACATAAATAATTCAACCCGGTGCATGAACTTATAAGAAAACGCGAAATTTTTATAACATTCTTAACTTCTCGCTATTAAGTGCTAATAAAGAAGCTTGTTAGCCCAACAGCATTCACGCAGAGTCCGAGTCCAAAATAATTGCCTGCAGTCGAAGTAGAAAGTTTTCCAAGCCCTAATAAGGCAGAATGTATAGAAGCTAATGGCATAGAGGAAACTTTTATAAAGAATTATTACGATTAATCATAATACAATATTGAGAAAGATTGCCAATATGCAGCGGTACGCGTAGGAAGAGCTAGACTTTCGTTAACAAGTTTAATAACCATCTTAAATTGCCACAATTGATCGGAATCTCGATTATTAGAAAAAATTTGTGTAGTGTTAAGAAGCAAGAACCTGAAGCTCCTTTCAAAGATTTAAAATTGGGTACTGCTCGCAAGTTTGGAGAGACAGAAAACAAATCTTAAATTGATGCGTGATATTGGGAGAGAAGAGCAATTTAAGGAAACGTCTGATGAAATCTTTATGGATGTAACATAGTAACAAAGAATTCACGACTGAAAGAACCATTAGGTGTTGTAAAGTTAACAAACTTTATAAAAGAAAATAAAAGTGTTCGCCCAAAGCATTTACAGTTTAGATCATCTTTTGTCAGAAGCACATTTACCCGAAAAGCTTATTGCTAATAAAATTGCTAAAATTGACGTTTGCAACAGACAACTGGAAAATTCATAAGCGAAATGAGGAAAGTAAATGTAAATGTAGAAGAGTCTGACAGTGAGAAGGAAATAAAAGTTAGTGCTCTCAGGAAATCTGAGCAAAATTATGATAAAGCAGGAGATGAGCCCGAATATAAGTGTTGGAACCCTGATCAAATAGATCATTCGATTTATGACTGTCCGTCGGAGACAATGAGGAGAGCAAAAAGTAACCTTGTTAACTAATCCTGAGCATAAGGGAAACAATTATCAAAGTAACCCCTTCGTTCGAGAAGGAACCCCTAATCAAACAATTAGCTCAGCCTAAAACAAAAGAAATATGTGAATTTAATGAGACTGAATTGCATACGTTACGTTTAGAGCAGCTAAAGTGTAAGCTAAGGCCAAAAAATTATCTTTTAAAATATTAAATTTTAGAGAAGTATAAAAAAAAAATTAAATTTACGAATGGAATTAGAAACTATTATTAGCAGTAAGATGAATGTTAACAGATCCTATGACAAAATTCGGATAGGAAATGACGAATCATATGTTTTATTAGACTCAGGAGCATCCGTTAGTGTATTAGGAGAAAACTGTTTCGAAGGAATTGATAATTTCTCAACCAAGGAATTAAATTGTTCAATTAAGACAGCTGATGGAAAGTTACAAGAAATTTTAGGAATGGTAGCAATATGGGTATCATATAATGGATTAAAAAAAAACATTAGTATAAAACATATTATTATATATATTATGAAATATATTATTGTTAATAAAAGTTTACAAAAAGAAGTTTATTTATCTAATTTGTAATTTCTAAATTAGAAGTACAACCGCACAGAGTGTCAATGATTAAAAGCAAATCGATATCGTTTACTCAAACTAAGCAAATTAAGGAAGTCAATGAAGAATTGCCATCGTTTACTTTATTAGGACCAAATCGTACCAATCTAGATATCCATGATATTTATACAGGTTTATCATAGCCACTTAAGCTTACCCATTATCATTCGTCACCACCCAGACAAAAAGAAGTTTATGCAGAATAAGATTATACGTTAGGGTAAAAGAGGAAAGCAATTCTCCATTGTGTAGTCCTATGGTATTGGTATTAAACGCTTTTATTGATTCTCATTGCTTAAAGGTTGATGGATTACTTAGTCGATTGCAAGATGCGTACTTCATTTCAAGTATAGATCTAACAAATGTCGTTGGACGTATCATCAAAAAAAATACGGCTTTCGCTATACCAAAAAGATCTTTATGCCACTTCATTGTCAAGCACTTTGACTGCGTAACTCAGCACAAAGGTTGAGTGCATTAATGGATAAAATAATACCAGGAACGTTATGATAACAAGTTTTTATTAATCTTGATGATAAATAGTATCTAACTGTGATTTTGAAAACCACATTAAAACTCTGAAACAAGTAGCTTATTGTTTGAGAGTAAGCTTTGTCAAGGAACATTAAATACTGACTCTGAGAAGGTAGAATATATCATTTGTGTTCCAATACCGTCAACACAGCGGTAAGTAGGGAGACTTCGCGGCATGACTGAATATTATAGCCAGTTCACCCGTAATTATGCTGGGCTGTGACGCATTGCAGGCAGGATTAGGTGGCGTTCTATCGTTATGTGATATAAACGGCAAAGAGCACTCTATAGCTTACGTTTCTCAGAAATTAAAGAAACGCAAGAAAAAAAGTATACGGTCAGTGAGCTAGAATGCTTAGCTTAAATGCCTATGAATCAAAAATATACTTTTATTTTGAAATTAAACACTCTAAAAGTTCACTTAAGCCCGATACTTTTTTAGAAGATGTTTAGGCTAGCAGAAGTTGATTTGGCAAGTCCAAACTTTCAATCAACCGAGTATGATGAATTGATAACAATAGTTTGTGAAATAAACTGTGAAATAAATTTGTGCACCAAGGAGTTCCATTTCGAAAAGGCGAACTCTGATCTGAAGTCAGTTTCTTGCGATTGTGGATACCAAATGATTTACGAACTGAAGTTATTGAAAACGAGAAAGCAAGGTTATCTTCGGCACGCCGAAGATCTAATACTCTTGCAGACACAACCTTTTCATAATGCTTATAGTGCTTTGCCCGTATCTAAGAAGCACAGGGTAAATAGTTAATGCCGAGTTTGGGCAAGATATCTTGATAAACAAAATGTTTTTTCATACAAAAACTTAATATTATACCGATCGTTCCTATGGCAGCTATATGATATAGTGGTCCGATCCAGCTGGTTTTCACATATGAGCTGCGTGCAACAGAAAAAGGGACTTCTGCAAAATATCATTAAGATAGCTTTAAAACTGAGAAACTAGTTCGCATAAAAACAGACAGACGGACAGACGGTCAGACGGACAGACAGACGGTCAGACGGACAGACAGACGGACATGGCCATATCGACTCGGCTGTAGATGCTGATCAAGAATATATATACTTTATGGGGTCGGAGATGCTTCCTTCTGCCTGTTACATACATTTGGATTTCGCACAAATACAATATACCCTTATACCCATTTTTAATGGGTTCAGGGTATAAAAAGTTCCCTTGGCAGGGTTCAAACTCGCAACTGACCGCATTACTTGCTGTCGACTCTACTCAACAGCCACACCAGCAAAAATAAATAAAAAAAGTACTTGCCCCGGTAGGGCTCGAACTCGCGACAGACCGCACTACTTGCTATGCCTCTACTCACCAGCCACACCAACAATTAAGTACTTATGAGAAAACAAGTAAGAGGTTCTAGGCGGGAGCTCTCGACTAGGGGATACCCTGAACCCTCTTCTTTCATCATCAAATGCATATATATATATATTCTATTTTAGAGCTATATGTCAAGTTTGGTGACTCTAGCTCTTATTATTTACCAAAATTGCCCAAAAAACAGGATATCGATATCGATTTTTATCGATTGCTTGGAAACAGAGTAAGTTATTGATCCGCGCGGGAACTAGGAGCATCTACATCTAAAATTTCATTTCATAGGTTCTGAGATCCTTGCCTTCATACATACGGACGGACGGACGGACGGACGGACGGACAGACAGATGGACATGGATAGATCGACTCGGCTATTGGTGCTGATCAAGAATATATATACTTTATGGGGTCGGAGATGCTTCCTTCTGCCTGTTGCATACATTTGGATTTTGCACAAATACAATATACCCTTATAACCAATTTTTAATGGGTTCAGGGTATAAAAAGGACAAGTTAGTCATATTTTACAGATTCTGCTGTGCGACAGCACAGATTATTAAATTACAACAGCTGGAGGAGCACGAAAGACTCGCTAAAATAAACCTGGGAAACGCAAGAGTTATAATATAAAATAAACACCTTTTACATAAAAACAACACACAAAAATTGTTAGAAACAAGTAAGAGGTTCTAGTCGGGAGCTCCCGACTAGGGGATACCCTGAACCCTCTTCTTCCAACATCAAATGCATATTTATATTCTATTTTAGAAGTATATGTCAAGTTTGGTGACTCTAGCTCTTATTATTTACCGAAATTGCCCAAAAACAGGATATCTATATAGATTTTTATCGATTGCTTGCAAACGGAGTAAGTTATCGATTATCGGAAACAAACTCGATCTGCGCAGGCACTAGGAGCATCTACATCTAACATACGGACGGACGGACGGACAGACAGACGGACATGGCTAGATCGACTCGGCTATTGGTGCTGATCAAGAATATATATACTTTATGGGGTCGGAGATGCTTCCTTCTGCCTGTTACATACACTACATTACAAAAACATTATAACCCTTTTACCCAGTTCTAATGGGTTCAGGGTATAAAAATAATAAAAATGTGTTGCTTAGTTGATCTTGATAAAGTTTTTTGCAGTATATCTTCTTCAGCATATTCGTATATTCGCATGTCGGGAACATCCTCAAAACTGGCTGTAGTGTCAATTGGAGTTGTTATTTTTTCGTTCTGCCTGTTATATTTGCTCAGATCCAGTATACCCTTTTAACCCATTTTCATTAAATTTCAGCTCAAAATATTAAATGCTCGCAGCTTGGTTTCTGTGGATAAAACCGGATTATGTGATTCATTCGTTAAAGTCTACATGATGCCCACTGGTCGATTTAATGGCTTTGCACCAGTAAAAACGGCCGTTCATAATAAAAATTGCTTTCCACTCTATGACGAACAGTTTAACTTGTAAGTAAATCGTTCTATTCAAGCATATCTTATATTTGAATTATTGTTTATATATATTAGCAATTTGAACTCGGATCAACGCCTGATGGAAGATAGCCTGATTTTATTTAGTGTTAAGGATAAAGATTTATTTGGAATGACAAGTCAATATATAGCAGAATGTTATATAACGTTTGCAGATCTCATAGCATCTAAAGGCGAGCAAATTATTATGAGTCTATCTAGACCAGAGTATACAGGTAAACATTCATTTCTTTTAAGTTTAAAATGCTAACATATTAAATTTTTTAAGATTCCATGGCATTGCGCGCTCTGGAGCATAGACAAGGTGATAAGCAAGCAAAGGATTTTTTGAAAAAGTTAAAGAGCAAATCAAATTATTAATTCTCGATACCGACGAATGTCTAGTCAACGACTTGTTATTTACAAATGTTATTATGGTATTATTTATGTATTCTGGCATACTTGATTATAAAGTCCATTTTAACTAGACATGCGCATTTATAAAAATATATTTTGAAACAATATTAATAAATATTATTATAAAAGAATTGTCCTAAGGGTACCCTTTTTAAGGTAACATTAAGCATTGTTTTTTTAGACGATTATTAAACAGGTCACCAGATTCGTTTCTAAGTTTTTTCTGATAATTTTTTAAGATTAAAACAAAGTTTTCATTAAATGTTGAATGGTTCAGCGGTATATAATATATTCTGCTCGGACACGATCTTAGTATTTATTGCATAAAAAGCTTGGTACGGATAACAAAGGGAGATATTTTCCACTTTTCGGTTTTGTACGGAGACTGAGCTAGAGAAACGTACACTAAAATGGCATTCCACCATTTGCGACTTTGGAAGGTCACTGCGCGTATTATGCCATGATGTTCGCTTTATCAGGCGCTGCAATAGAGATCCAATTCATGTCACACTGACGAATTAGCAGCAGTCCTGTGTCTGCTGATCACTTGCCATCAAGGCAAGAGTTACTGTCGTTGCCTTCCTCGAATTCCAAATGTCCTGTATCCAATGAGAGCTGCAACTTGCATCCATTCTTGGACCGATAAGACGATGCATACTTTCTTGGGAGACTGCAGATTTAGTGGGTTGCAATATATTATGAAAAACACCACGACTGTTTTCAGTGAGGATTTTGAAATGTTCTTTATTCGGAACTCTGTCCGCTTCAAACAAAAGATGATCTGAGCTGTAAATGCTTGGGGCAAACACTTATATTTTCTTTTATAAAGTTTGTTAAGTTTACAACACCTAATGGTCCTTTCAGTCGTGAATTCTTTGTGTTGCATTTGACGTTATCGGTAGCATCGAGGGTTTACCTAGTTGGTTGCGTGCGATATTATCGGCCACGCCGATATCTTTTCGTCATATGGTCAGTGTATGCGGGGTGAAGCTGCGCCCACGGCGGAGCCCAAATTTTTGAAGGGTGGCAACGCCAGACTTGCTATCCACGGCGTCAAAAGCGGCGATTGCTATTGGCCGCCCGGTTCGCTCTTAAAGAGAATAGAATAGAGTGGATCGCATGCCCTTGGTCGTCATTTGGGCCATTGACCCAAAAAAATGCAGCTGTGCAGCAACGGTGCACGCCTCGCCAATGTATGCGTGTGCCGAAATTCGGCACCGATGATGTTGCTGCCCAAATGTAAACGGAGTTCGACTTTGTCAGCGGTCCACAGCGGACGCACCGGCTCGTAGTTAAGAATTTTTGGATGTGGGATATTTTTTTTTGCCGGCCACGGAGCATGTGCTTAACCAAAAAGATAAAAATCAAGGGACATTTGTTATGGACGGGTTTTCTTTATTAGTCAATTGCTTAATCCGTATGTGCTAACGTATTGCAAAAGAAAAACACATAAAACTTAAGTGCGACGAAACGAACTAAAAAAAAAGGAAATAAAAATTAACGGTTCCGGCAACAAAGGGACCAGCTCCCGCACCAGAGAAGTCCACGAACATACCAAAAGCCAGGAATCGGCTCAGCAGCGCACACCAGCCATATCCGCGACGCCGCCAGCCAAGCGTCGGCGCAACCCTGAAGGCGACGAGACGAGCCACCAACGACCGGACGCCAACAACGAAGAAGCGGCCACAGGCGAGACCACGCCCACATCCTCCGAGTGAGTCCGTTCTATTTTGCCCATCCTCGTTAGAGCTCTTGGCAAAGAAATGATGGAGACTCCTGACCGTACTCCCTGAAAAAGAACAGATTATTTTTGTCCTTAGATTAAGTTTTTTGTATTTATTAATCATGTCTATACATACATAGGCACATACGCCGAGTTTCACTTTAGAGTGCGAACGGTGAGGGAATTTCCAAAGGTGATGCATCTGCGCATAAAAGATATAAATATAAAATTAACACTTGCGCGAACTATGTTCACATACTTACCTAATTGGAATTATCCATTTATATCGCCCCTTACCACCCCCAGAGAGCTCTTTAGGTAGGGTAAGGTAGAATTAAGCGATTTAATACAATTTATATCACCTACCTGTTGCACGACTGATTATCGTGACATACCCAGTTTTACGTAGTTGTATGGGCACATTGTTCCTAAATTGGCGCAACGATTGCCTCTTAATTGCCTCCGTGCGTGTTTTTTTTTGCGGCGACTAGCGATATCTTTGTAGAATTTCTTCGCCTGTTCCATTTGGTGCTGTTAAAATAAAAAAAAAGGAATTCTAGGAGATAAGAGAAAAATTTAGGCATTAATACACTTTGTCCATAAGTATAAATATAAATATGCAACATTAATACGCATCCGGGTAAGAAACGTCACGTGCATGAATATTAATTCATCTGGACGGAGACCTCGTGCAAATCAGAAAGAAAAAAAAGAAATATTAATGCCAATAATTATAAGAATGCACAAACCATTATACGCACCTGTGAAGCTAACCAAATATGAGATTCGAAATAGCTGCAAAGATAAATGCCATAAGCAATGATTATAATTGTTATACACTTAAAGAAAACGCAACCAATTATATACCGTATCTGATGAGAGAAATGTCCGGTTAAATTTTCTTTGATGGCCATCTAATGGACAAAATGTGGGAGACGAGAAGGTGATCGTCTCATGGTTGGGCGGGTACGCTGGGTCCGGAACCAGGGCCCGATCTGGAAGAGTAAGGTGGATAAATAGTGTTTTTTGTTAATTTATATTGAGTGTCTCACCTTTGTTGTTTACATTTTCTTAGTTGTTACAGCTGTTTATTTTGTTCATGAGTTGGATGTTCCGATTGTTTGACGTTATCGATTTGTGGTTCGTTTTGCATAGTGTTGTGTAAGTCTGTTTTGTTACAGACGTGTAGCTTTGTTGTTATCGATTGTGCGGACTGCGGGCCAGGGACTACACCCAGAGAAACCGATAAGCCAGCCGGCGCGGCCCACCGAGAAACAAGCAGTTTCGTAACAATATGGCGCCCAAATTGAAGAAGCACTCGGCTTCTTTGAAGAAAACGATTGCTTTGGCTTCAGGACCCACACCGCTGAAGTCTTATGTGGCACGAGTAGGGAGCTCATAATCGCGCAGCGAGGTTGAAGTACCACCACAACGTACAGAAACGCCGCCGGGAGAACTGGAGGAAGCATTCGTGCGAGGCAGGAACTCATCCCGACATGTACGCTGGAACTGCAGACAATTCGATCACGTCTTTAGAGACTGCCTGTCCAAGGAGCGGAAAATATTCTGCTATAGGTGTGGAAAACCGGACACTTTCTGCTCCCAGTGTGAAAACTGTCCGGGAAACCCCAGAGGGAGCGCGGTGATGGCAAACGCGGGGAAGCAGACGAGGGGTACCTACCAAAGCCAATAATCATTGAAAAGGAGACGGAGATATTAATATAAGCAAAGGAGGAACACGTAGGGGCTTACCGTATGAAGAACGTGTTCGGGCATACATGTCGGCCCGAAATAGAATTTTTGGTGAGCGACAGCCGGAAGGGATGACACTAGCCAGCCGGAGAGTGGTTAAGGCACGTGCGCGCTTCCGCAGACGCAGGATTACCCGGCGCCAGGTCGTCGAGGCGGTGAGACGGGAGGATAGTATAGACCCACGCGTATTCGCCGAAGTGGAAGTCGCCGGGGCCAAGATGAAAGGGCTGCTGGACACGGGGGCCTCAGTCAGTCTGTTGGGACGAGGATGCCGGGAGTTAGTGGAGAAACTGGGATGGGAAGCGCGGCCATACGAATCGATGGTGAGGACAGCGGCGGGTGCTAATCGCCCAATTTTAGGTCGCGTGGTTCTGCCTGTGAAATACGAGAATAGAAAGGAAGATATCGTATTTTACATGTGCCCGGACCTGCGACAGAAACTATACTTGGGAATCGACTTCTGGCGGGCCTTTGAGATTGTACCAGAGCTGCTCGGTCCGGCCAGAAAGCCCGGAACACCACCAGAGGCATCTGAGGTAACGGTAGCGAACACAGAGGTGGCATATTACCGGGACGACGACGACTGCGCGGCGGATTCGGAAATGTGGGACCTGGACAACGATCAGAAGAGTCAGTTGCAAAGCGTGAAGCGCAGATTTTTCCAATTTGAGAAGGATGGCCTAGGGAAAACTCACCTGCTGCAGCACCGAATTCAGCTGATCGAGGGAGCAGAACCCGTGAAGGACAGACATTATCCGCTGTCTTTGGCCAAACAGGAGATCGTGTGGGCCGAGGTGGATAAAATGCTAAAGTTAGGCATCATCGAGGAGAGTGACAGCCCCTGGAGCAACCGGACGACGGTGGTGATGAGGCCTGGGAAGAACAGGTTTTGCTTAGACGCCAGGAAACTAAACAGTGTGACGGTAAATGACGCTTACCCGCTTCCATGCATCGAGGGCATCCTATCGCGAATCGACGAGACTCATTTTATCTCTAGCGTCGACCTTAAGTTCGCGTTCTGGCAAATCGAGATTGAGGAGAAGAGCAGGGCGTATACGGCGTTTACCGTACCAGGGAGGCCGTTGTACCAGTTCGGCCACATGCCATTCGGGCTCTGCAACGCCGCTCAACAACTTTGTAGGCTCATGGACAAGGTAATCCCGGCGAATCTGAGGTCCAACGTGTTCGTATAACTAGACGATTTGCTGATAATATCGGCAGATTTTCCAACGCACCTAAAATATTTGGAACTGGTGGCCGAGTGTCTGAGGAACGCGAACCTAACCATAGGCATAGCGAAGTCAAAATTCTGCTTCCGCAACCTAAACTACCTGGGTTTCATCATAGGCGGCGGGACGCTGCGCATGGATCCGGGAAGAGTAGAAGGAATCCGGAACATTCCGAATCCGAGGACGGTCAAGGAACTACGAAGCTTCTTAGGTACAGCCGGGTGGTATCGACGATTCATAAAGAACTTCGCCGAGATCTCGGTACCGTTGACTGATGCCCTTAGGAAGAACTGGTAAATTTGTGTTGAGTGACGAGGCCATGGATGCCATAGAAAGCTTGAAGTCAGCCCTGACCACAGCTCCCGTGTTAGTTCACGCAGATTTTCGAAGACCATTCT